TGACTTGCTGACGTGTTAACTCGATCAAAATCACGCATCAACCGTTAACTTTGATTAAGAGTAATATTATTGGTCGAAATAATAATACTTCTCTACTGATGAGTCCTATAATAAATTAGTGAATTTGGAATTGAATTTTGGTAGATTGAGAAGCGGACAGGTGGAGGACTGAGATTGGATGGTGAGATGTGGAGGAGAGAGAAAAGGGCTAAAAAGTAAAAGAAGAGAGAGAAAGAGAAGGAAGGAGGAAGCACAGCAGAAGCCTTCATAGTTTGTTCTGTATCTTGTCGTTATCCATAATTCCTTAGTGGATTTTCCAATTCTGTGCGTTGAAATTTCCATTATTTACGATAATGGAATTTTTCGGGTTTTGGCTTTTGCCGCGTTAATTACGATTGCCCCTTTTTTTTTAATTTTTTTTTTAACTTTTACTTTTATACGCATGCCTTTCTGGCGGGACTTTGGCTCATTCTTGACCCCACTCTCGGAGAAAGCGCGTGCAAAAACAGTGGACCGTTGGATGACCGACTATTTCGATCGGACGGTCGCCCACGAGAGGCGTGAAGTTCACGGGGAGAGAGGAAAGTGAGTGATGGTCGGTTTTTTGTATGATTTATTTATTGGTGATTGGGTGCCAGAAGATCATGGAAACTCGCGTTGGCAGGCACCGTGAGCGCGTTGCATAATTGACTTTTTTTTTTTAGAAGAAAAAAATTAATGTTGGGGTATAAAAGGGTATTTTTATTCGTATTTCTAAATATGACTTTATATATACTTGATTTTAAATTAAATAAATAAATAGTGTTTGCCACTTTGCCTAACCATTTTAGTTGATATGTCATTACAGTGATAAAATTTTAAAAGTTCGAATAGTTACATATTTAATATTTATTTGACATTTATATTATAAAAATTTATCGTAATATGAATAATTTAAATTTAGAATGGACAAAATAATTTAGAGAGAGTGAGTTTAAACAATAGAAATATATTCATTTGCTGTTGTAACTGCCTTGTACCACGAACCACCTTTTTTTATACATGCTTTAATTTTTAGGAAAATTCTGTATTATTTCACTCATATGGTAACACTACAAATTTAAATTCATCACATTAACTCTTTAAGTTAAAAGTAAATAAATATCTATCGATCGTTAATATGTACTATTTCTTTTGAGGTTGGAGATTCGATCCTCCATATCTCTAGATTGTTGTACTAAAAAAAATACTTATATTATACTATAAATAAAGGAAAAAATTAGTAAACTAATTTCTATCTTTTGTATGCATATGTCTTATCATTTTCAGATTTCTTCAATTGTTAATTAATATTTCTAGAAACGATGGATACAAAAGGGGAAAGGTATACTGTAGCTCCTTGATTAATTGTCGCGGATTCGTTTGCTGATTTGGACTAAAGTTTTATTATTATTATTTTTTTTTTTTTTGGGGACGAAAGTATTTGAATTGAAAATTTCGGCCATCTTTGACGGAACCAGACTTTTTTAACAGTCCACTATCTCTCTTGCTTATCCTCTTCTTTTTTTTTTCTTTTTTTTTTCCTCATACGTTTTTTATTTTTTAGTCTTGGATTTCTTTATTTATTTTTTGTTTTATTTTCTGAATTAAATTTTTTTTTTTAGTATTTCTATTCTTACAAAAATTCGAACTTAGTTGTCACTTTTATGATGAAAATGTGGTGTGACACTAATGAAATCTCTTTGGTTTGACTAAGTCTATTATAAATTGCCTATAATGGACTTGTGTTTGACTTAGATTAATCATTATTTGCATTATAAATTTAAATTAATTTTGAGGTGCTCTAAATAGATTTAATCACCCATGTTTGGGGCTACCCACCTTATTATTTGTTTGTTTGGATATAAACAATGCTTTACATGTTTGTTAACTTAAAAGAAGTAAAAATTCAAGGGAAGTGATTAAATATTGAATTTAATCAAAATTGAAGTGATAAATTAAATTTTTTAATTTTAAATCAATTAAATGTGTGTGACGAATGTCGATTTTACCCCTGAACTTGCCACTTTGTAAGGTATTGTGACGTTGAACCGATACCACATCTGAATGAGGGAGCCTGAGATTATGGATGAATGGTCAATAAAGGCTCAAAAGAATTGATAATTACTACCTATACTAACAAGGTACATCTTCCTTTTCGATAACTCAATTGTAAGAACTCAAAAGATAGTAGGGAGGGCGATTAGGACCAAATTCAGATTTCGAATCTTAATATGAATCATGGACGTGAGATGTTACCTTTTTCACGATTCTTCAAAGGAATGTTTATTGGGGAGTAAAAATTACCATTTCTTAAAAAACTTAAAGTAAATATTACCACCTTTATCAAAGTATAAGGTACAACTTGATGCAATTAATAGACGTTTTTACTTAAAATAATTGATTTTCCCCTAAATATTGTCGTATTTAAAGTAAAAACTTGGTATTTAATTATATTTTAAAATAAAGTTAAATAGTGTAAAATTGAAAACTACATTTGAAATATGGAAGCCATTGAAAGTTGAATTACAATTTATTGTATATAAAGTACATTCCACAAATCACGTGCATTGTCTTCCATAATTTATGCGTTGCCCTTATCATCATCACCTCCTTCTCTCTCTTAATGAGTGGTAGAATCCAAAAGCAAAGAGCTTTCAAAGAAACAAATATCTATAAGGATGAAATTTAGCATTAAATGATGCAATTATTTTGTTAGGTCAATCTATAAGGTTTGTGGAATAATAATCCCACTTTTTAATTTTAATTTGACATCGAAAAATACCAACTTATACATTACTACTTTTTCTTCCGTGTTTATTTGTTTTTGTTATTTAGTATTTTTCAGAGCAGAAGTTACACTTTGAAAATTAAGAAAAATAATATTTTGAAAAGTTAGTAAGATTTTATAACCTATCTTACTAATCAGAAAAGACAGGATTGGACCCTATAATAAGAGTGAAGATCTTTCACTCATTCTTAGTGAACTGTATCCTGACAAAAGAAATGTTTCGACCATAGGAGATGCATCTCACTCTCATACCAATTGAACTACTTGAATCGGTTGAATGAAATTGTTATTGAGATTTTGTTAATGATTCGAATATGTTTTTAAGATAAAATTGTTATTCAAATCGATAAAATTTTAATTATACAAAAAATAGGTTGGTTCAACCCAGTTGACCCCCACACTCATATAAAAAAAAGTTAAAAGACACTTTTGGTAACAATTTAGTCATTTGTAACGATTTAGTCCTTATACTTTCAAAATGGAAATAATTTAGTTATTGAATTTTAATATGTAACAATTTAGTCTTCCTAATTTAAAATGGCTTACGATTTAGTCCTTTTCGTAAAACTTTTTTTTTTTGTTAAGTTTCTTATATATATGATTGATAAACTAAGAATTGACCAAATAAGTTTATAAATTAGAAATATTAAATTGTTATAGATAAAATTTTGTTACAATAGAGACTAAATTGTTACCAAGCTAAAATTCAGAGACTAAATTGCAAAAAAAATCTACCAACCTCACATAATCCATCATAAGTTCTCTATAAAATATATTGTTACAAAAAAAAAACACAACACATCTCACTAAAAAATATATATACACACATTTATTTTTATTACAAAAATTTAACTAAAACCATTTGATATTGTAAAATAATATTCTAATGATAATTATGGAGGTGGGAATATTTGAATCTTCAACCGTATGGGGAAGGTTTCATTGTAGAGGGGTAAGTTAACTACAAAAAATGAAAAGCAAAATAGTTATTAAACAAATATATTAAAGGATCTAATTTTTTTGCACTATGATTATGAAACATTTGATCTTAAACAAAATACAAAGAACAAGAACAAAGTACAACAATGACAATTTGTTTGCAATTTAATTACTAGAAGAAGAACATAAACATATAACAAACATTACCCCAAAAGAAAACACAAATGATTTATTTTTGTAAAAAAAAAAAAACTCAAAATCACCCTAATTCTTTATAAACAAAAACCCGAGCTAGGGTTTTATGGGATCGGTTGTAAGCCCAAAACCCAGAGGGAAAAGTGGGTTGTAATTCTCATCCCCATAGTTCATCGGAAGTTGATCGACGGTCTTGAACCAGGTCCTCGGCAGCTTTCCGGTGAACCCGTAGTCGCCGAACAGAACGTCGGTGACGCCCTCGCCCTCTGTCCCCGGCAGCCACGCCGCCACCAGTGCGTCCAGCTGCGACACGTACGGGTGAATCGTCAGCGGCCGGCCGGAGACGATGACGACGACGCACTTCACGCTGGTGCACACGTTCTGGATCGTGTCGGAGCCTCCTTCGGCGATCGTCAAGTTCAGGTTGTCGCCGTCGGTTTCGGCGTACGGCGGCTCTCCGACGACGACAATGGCGTACGAGAAGTTGTTCGCCTTGACGTAGTCGGTCGTTGGACTTACGTTGTAGACAACCTCCGTGTTTGGATCTACGGTTTTCTTCACCGCATCGAGAATGGTGGTTCCGGTGGTGTGGTTGTTGCCGCTGAGCCCTTGCCAGGTGATGGTCCAGCCGCCGCACTGGTAACCTAGATTGTCGGCGTGAGTTCCGGCGACTAGAATCTTCGGCGCCGTCTTCGACAGAGGAAGGATCGGGTCATCGGCGTTTTCTCCGTTCTTCAACAGAACAAGCGATTTCCTCACGGCTTCTCTGGCCAGATCTCTGTGTTCCTGCTCAGTTAAACGGTACAAAAATTTCACTCAAAACTGAAATTTCATTCAGTTTTTTCCTTTTTTGGGGGGTGGTGCGGATGTTTTAGGTCAACTAACCTGGCTTCCAAGTTCATTCACAAATCTGTCGTCAGCCATTGGATTCTCAAACAGGCCCATTACGAATTTGACTCTCAAAATCCGTCTAACTGCGTCATCGATTCGGGACATCGGAATGGCATTGCTGTTGACAAGGTTAGTCAGGCCATCAATGAACTCAGTGTGGTTTGTAGGAATCATTACCTGTAACAAAACAGCAAAAATAACATTAGAAACCAGTTTTAAGGTCTTAAATTGCTATGTTTTCTTGGATTGAGATTTGTTCATTGCATAACCATGTCTATTCCTGCTTGAACTCCTGTGAGAATTGAGAATGTGTAATTTGAATGAGCTGGGTAGGTGATCCGGTCGATACCGGCCCAATCGGAGATGACAAAACCCTGCAAGTTCAACCACGGAAAAGCCATAGTTATACAGTTCAAAGTTTAGGGACTTGTACAGGCAAATCATCCATAAGGATTTAGCGCTATAGATAGATACCCTGAAGTTGAGAGTGTTCTTAAGGAAATTGGTGATGAGATCATGGTTTGAATGCATCTTCACGCCATTCCAACTCGAGTAGGAAACCATTATTGTAGAGACACCTTTGATTATGGAGTAATAGTATCCCGGCATGTGAATGCTCAACAACCCGTGCCTATCAATCACAGTGTTGTTCTCATTGATGCCCCTCGTCGTGCCACCGTCCCCGACGAAATGCTTTGCACAAGCTGCAACCTTGTCTCTGTTTCAAGGCCAAGAAGTTCTTTAAAGTAGGTTTTGTGAAATGAAAAAAAAGAACAAAGAAAAAACACCATATCTTTAGTGGTTTGGAAACTCACCTTCCACCAACATAAGGAACACCCTTTGAAAAACCAGATGTGATTTCTCCTTGCAGCCCAACAATGATCTCTGTCATCTCTTTGACAATATCAGGGTCTTCACTGTAGCTTTCATAACACCTTCCCCATCTTGGATCTCTACAGACCTGAAATGAAATTGCTTTCAGTTTGTTCGAATCAGAAAAGTTGTGAGTGGAAAAATGAAGGGGAAATTGAAATCAGGAAAACATACTGCTATACATGGAGCAAAGACATAATCAATCCCAGTTGCTCTAACTTCTTTAGCAGTAGCAACTCCAATCCTCCTTATAAGTTCAGGATCCCTGTTAGTCAGTCACATGAGAAAACTAGTTAGCAAACAATAGTTTCATGTCAGTTTCGGTAGTACGCCAAAAGAAGAAGTTTAAATACTCCCATATATCGTCACCTGGTTGCGCCAAGACCAACATTGTGGGGGAAGATTGTGGCATTGTAGACATTGTTATGGCCGTGGACAGCATCAATTCCATATATCATTGGAATGCCAAGCCTGCTCGAGAGTGAACCCTGTTGGAATGAATTCACCATGTCAATCCACTCCTGTGCAGTAGCCTGTGGAGATGGGACACTACCTCCGCCGCTAAGCACACTGCCGAGTGAGTAATCTCTCATGATCTCCGGTGTGACGACCGTGCGATCCAACTGTGTCATCTGCCCAATCTTCTCTGCTAGAGTCATCCTGTCCATCAGGTCCTTGATCCGAATGTTAAGCGGCTGCCCCGGGTCTTTGTACTTGACATAGTCTCCATCAGCAGACGCCAAAGCTGCACAGCAACAAAGTAAGAGCACCAGCATTGGGACCACTGTCACCGTCATCATCTTCTTGGTGAAGGAAGAGACACAAGAACTGAATTCAGTTCTTTCTTAGGTTGGTTCTGCCCTTTATATAATCAGTTTTGCAGTCCTAGAATCTCTCTTTCTCCACCATTTTAGGTACCTTCAACAGCTTTTGGAAAACTGAATCCTCTCCCTTATCTCTATGATCTTTGGAGAAAGAATGGGAACTTCTCTCTTTTTTTTTTGGTTACTGCTTGCAGTTGGAATGAGAGAAAATCTGGGTTGATATGGTGATAAAGTCAATGGTGTAATTCTTTGATTTCTTTTGTTTCGCAATACAGAGTTATTAAATAGACGTAACACTGAAACATATGGCTGGTTGAATATAGAGTTTGTTTCTAGGTTTTGATTTTGATATTTTAAGTTATTTTTAAGTGAAATTTCAAAGTAATTGTTCAAATGGAGCCATAGTTTTCTTTCCAATTTATAATTAATTAATTTGTTTCTATTAACAGATACACCCCATTAACTTTTACCTTGAAAATGCTTGAAAAATCTAATCATCCCAATTAAAAGTGGATGAATTGGATCGAGTTATAACTTTGTGCTTTGGGTTGTGGATAAGTTGAGTTGAGTTGAAATAAATTGAAACTTTATTAGTTGATTTAACTTGAATCGAACCAATTAGAATTTGTCATCAATTTAAAAACATTTTTTACTCCACGTAATATTAAATATTTGTGTAAATGTTTTAATTCTATTGATTCAATAATTGCTTTTAGACTTTTACTCTTCAACTCTTTGAAAATCATTCCAATGTTGCTAGGTATAATTTTTCATGATATAAAAATTCACATTGAGTTACTAATCTCAATTCAACATAGAGAGAACAAGTTTGCAAATTTGCAACATAAACAAATGTGTTAGTCTTAATAAGTTCTATTAGCTTGACTCATTCCACAAACGCTCATCTCAATTTTAATTCAAAATTTTTGTTAAATCTTACCATCTAGGTAAAAAGGTCATTGATAACTATTTTGCTTTTAATTCTTTATTTTTTTAATATTATACTGGTTTGCTCACAATTTTTTAAGTATGTTCTCACCTTTCTTACCACTACATTGGATTTCTTAGCTAAATTTCAAAAACAAAAATAAAATTTTGAAAACTTATTTTTCTTTTATAATTTTTAAAATTTGGCCCTTTTTGAAAAGTATATGGAAAATAAAGAAATATGCAGTGTTTACAAACTTAGTTTTCAAAAAACATAAAACAAAATAATTATCAAATGAGCCCAAGTGTTTAGAGTATTCGTCAAGTCCTATTTCCTTAAATTTTTGTATTCATGGGTGATTTAACATGCTATTAGAGTAGGATCTTATGCTTAAATAGTAATAGGTACCGAAATTTATGATGTTTATTTTTAATATTAAATATTCACATCACTTCTACCCAATCTAAAAACTCATTAGATAATACTAGAATATGAAAGTTAAGAAACGAGATCATAGCTCTAGTTTTTTCCCCATTACTCACAATTTTGAAAGATTATAAAATATTTTCCATGATCACAAATATTGAGTGCTAATTTTACAGATATATAGATAAATTATTGATGTGGACAAATATTTATTAAAGAATCCATAAAAAGATTTAAATTGATTTTATACTATATAAATAAGTTTCTAATCTTTGTTACACATGTTTGAGCCCGAAATTGATTGAGTTCGGACACGATTCAGATCGGTATGCTCAGGACGAGCTATGGCCAATGGTCGACACCTTCCTTGAACAGTTCTTGAGACCTGCAACACAAAGTTAGCACTCCAACGAGTAAGTTAGTTCTAGTCCGAACTAACTTGTCGAGTTTACTTAGGATTGCGTACCTTGCATTTAAGGCAAGGGTTTCTATTTATAGAAACTGGGCCCGACAGGGATTCTGACACACCCTAAAATCACGGCGTGCTGTCGGGCACGGAAGGGACACTGTTACGGACTCTGTATCAGCTCAGCTCGGCACTATGGGTCCTACCCCGACTGCCGACCTGAGTATTTTGGAGCTGCTTTCTTCACTTCACCCGCGTGTTTAACCAACCCACCTTTTCGATCGTGACATGTGGCAGGTCAGGATTCGCCTCCAACAACATGCTCTTCATTTTAGTGATATTACTTCTCCATATTTTTTATAATTCATCAACAATTTCGTGATATATTAAAAATACTTCCAATGTAAGCTTATCTCAATTAAAACATTTATTTTTATCTGCAATGTTGGAGTTTCAAAATTTTATCTCCACATTTATGGTATAAAAAATATACTCAACCTTTTGATTTATAGAAATGTGTGTTTTTTTATGAGTGATTTTATAGAAGTATATGGACGCATGCTCACGAATATAGAGATAAAGAAAAAAAAAATTTCTATAATCTGAAATTTAGATGGACTGGACTTTGTAATATCATGCAATATTTATTATTTATTTTCCTGTATGGATGCAATGATAGCAATAAAAATGGTGGATTATTTTATACGCCACAAAATTGCTAAGCTCTCAATTCATTGGTTGGCACAATTATTATAATTATTATTATTCACTTTTTTTTTTCTTTAAGAAGTATTATTATTCACTATCACCTATACCAATCCTAACTTTTACGAAAATTCAGATTAAACAAATTTCAATGAATATTTGCCTTCAATTTTGTTTATATTGTTCATTTGGCAGGTTTCTATCTATGTATAAATTATTAATTTGGTTTTTATGTTTGAACATATCTACCGTTCAATTCCACGTCGATTTTAAAAGTTTCAATTTACTTTTTGTGATCTAGTTATATCTCATAAAAATTTCTGTCTTTACTATATTGAATTGGTTACCAATGGTGAAGGAGTTCAACCAAACCGTAATGGTAAAATTGAAACTTTTCAAAATAATAGAGATTAAATTGAAACTATGAACCTATATGGACTAAATTGAAATGTAAAACTATAGAAACCAATTTGAAATTAAGTCTAAGCTGTAGAGACTAAACTAAAGCGGACTTACGATCTATGTGTTACATTTAGAAGATCACCAAGACTTTGATGGCATGTCTGTGTGTTCAAATATGCTAATAAACAATAATATAATTTTTAATCAACTTTTCATTCAAATTTTAATAATAAAAAATTTTCTGGAAAGACTTAATTGACCCTTTTTAATGTCTCAAAAAGTAAAATTGAGAGTTTTAAAGATTAAAAATCAAATTCAAAATTATTTGAAAGATTAGAGACTATAATATATATTTTTGCGATTGTTCATGCACAGAAATATCCATCCAAGTAGTAAGATTTATCCCTTATGTGAGTCGAGTGACCTGCAAGATAGAGTTGAGCATTCTAATGTCCAAGTCGAAAAATGTATGAAGTAAATTCAAAATGGATTTGAACGTATCTAAGTCACAAATTACCCACTCCTCTTAAATGAGATTGAAAAGTTAGAAGGAAAAGAACAAAATCATTTTGAATTTATCCCTTATGTGAGATGCCCATAATTTGGAAAATTTCTCCGGCATTCACCCAATCCAAGATTGTTTCAAACCAGGCTGCATAATTTTGGAGTTATTATGATTGGTCACCAAAAAAGGATAGTGCATCTTATTAGTATATGTAGTAACTATCAAAATTTTCTTAACCATACTTCCATCATTTTAGGATCCTTCTTATTCACATGTGTATCGGTTCATTTATGTACCACCTATCTCTACTCGTACGTTACATTTGCATTTAAAATTTTAAAATTTTCAATTATAATATTGGTTTAGATACTGTTTGCTTCTTGCACTCGTGATTTTAGTTCATTTTGATCTTTGTACTCTAAAAACATGCATTTTGATCCCAATACTTTCTTTCAACTTTGATTCATTGTTTGTTTTTATACTTTCAACTTTTGTTCATTTATACTTTCGAAATATCCATTTCAATCATAATTTTAGCACGATATTTCACTTATTAAATTTCTTAAATGTAACCATAAATTTGTATAAAAGAATTTCTATTCTGTATAAAATTCATGTTAAATTTTTGTAAATAGAGACGAAAATAGATGTTTTGAAATAATAATTACTAAAATAAACAAAAGTTAAACTTAAAAATATATTAATTAAAATGAATTAAGTAAAAAAAAGTACCGAACAAAAATAGTATTTAACATAAAATTATCAAAGGAAAAACATGAAGATAAAACTACTAAAAATATAAATAAATAAATAATTGGGCCTAGAT